CTCAGTTGGTTAAGCGTCCGACTTCGGCTCAGGTAATGATCTCACGGCTCGTGGTTTTCCAGCCCCACATCGGGCTCTGTGCTGACACCTAGCTCAGAGCCTGGAGCCTGCTTCAGATTCTGTGTCTCCCTCTCTCTCTGACCCTCCCCTGCTCACGCTCTCTCTCTCTCTCAGAAGTTAAAAAAAATAAAAACTAAAAAAAAATTAAAAAAATAAAAAAATGGGCAAAGACTTGGTAGGCATTTCTCCAAAGAAATCAAATGGCCAATAAGCATATGGATGGATGTTCAACATCCTTTGTCATCAGGGAAATGCAAATTAAAACCACACTGTGGTGCTACTTCACACCCACTGGCTATGACCCGAAAGGCAGGTAGCAACGAGTGTTGGCAAGGATGTTGAAAAATCGGAACCCTCATCTATTGCTGGTAGGGATGAAGAATGACGCAGCCTTTGTGGAAAACAATTTAGTATTTCCACAAAAAGTCAAACATGGAGTTACCTTATGATCCATCAATTCTAAGAGAACTGAAAACGTGTGCCCACACAAAATGTTCATAGCAGCATTGTTCATCATAGCCAAAAAGTGGAAATAACTCAAATGGATGGATAAACAAAATGTGATCTATTCATCCAATGGAATATTATTCAGCCATAGAAAGTAACCCAGGGCTGGGGCCCCTGGGTGGCTCAGTTGGTTAAGTGTCCAACTTCAGCTCGGGTCATGATCTTGTAGTTTGTGAGTTCAAGCCCCACATTGGACTGGTGCGGTCAGCTTGGAGCCCCTCTGTCCCTCTCTCTCTGCCCCTCCCCTGCTCATGCTCTCTCTCTCTCTCAAAAATAATAAATATTAACAGGGAAAAAGAAAGGAACCCAGTGCTGATACATGGATGAACCCTAAAAACATTATGCTCAGTGAAAGTAGCCAGATGCAAAGAAAGGTCACAGGTTTTAAGATTCCATTCATATGGAATATCGAGAAAAGGCAAATCTGTAGAGAGAATAGATTAGTAGTTGTCAGGGTCTTGGAGGAGGGAGAAGGGAGAGTGAATGCTAATGGATATTGGGTTTTTCTTTGGAGTGATAAAAATCTTCTGGAATGAGTGGTGATGGCTGCACATCATAGTGAAAATACTAAAAACCACTGAATTGTACACTTTAGAAGTGTGAATGTGAATTCTATCTTAATTTTAAAAAGCTGTTATAAAAAAAAATTGACACGGGAGCGCCTGTGTGGCTGTCTGTTGCGCGTCTGACTCTTGATTCAGCTTAGGTAGTGATCCCAGGGTTGTGGGATTAAGCCCCATGTTGGGCTCCATGCTGAGTATGGAGCCTGCTTGAGATTTTCTCTCTCCCTGCCCCTCTTCTCTGCTTGCTCTCTCTTTTTCTAAAAAAGATTTTAAAAATTGTTTTAAAAAAACACACACACACATGAATTCAAACAGACATACCCAGATATACCTACTAGAGACAGGCTCTCCCACCAGCCCAGCCCCTGGATGGAGGATGCAGCAGCTGCCTGTGGGGCCTGTATTTCATCCCACAGACCATCTCAGCACCATGGTGGGGCATATGCCACCACTGTACACATTAGCCACATCTCACTCTCAGGCTAGGCCCAGATGCTCCCTCTTAGGTAGCTGCCTTGGCACCCAGAGTCATCCAGCTACAGTGGGGAATGTGTATAGAAGTGTGGAAGTGTGGAAATGAGTGTGTGTCAGTGTGTGTGTCGTTAAAGAAAGTTATACATAGCAGCAGTTAAAGTAGTAAAAACAGATTTTATTAAAAACTATTGCAAAAGGGGGAAACAGACCTCAGGTACAGAACTGGGCTCAATTCTGAATCCAGTGAAGACAAGTGGGGATTTATGGTCAGAAAGCAGGGTGACGAATCAGTGGATAAACAAGTACTAAGAGAAAACCTCAGGGGTAAGGGACATCTAACAGGATTCTCACTGAAAGCAGGCCAGGGGCATCAGACATCACTGGGTGGGGAAGGGGAGGAGCCTGAGTAGATAGTGAGAGTTATCACATTTGGAAGGTGCGAGATTCTCCCTAAACTGATTCTGTAAGGAAGGACAGAGGAGCTCAAGGTTTAACGCCTTGTCAAACACTCCTCAGAAGAGCCTGACCGAAGTTTGATCATGGAGAGAATCTCTGTCAGTGTCAAGTGTGTAATGTTGTGCTAGGGTGTGTTCAAGTGCAGATGTACACCCTACCAGGAGCTGCCCCAAGGAGTGAACTGAGAGCTTGAGGCCCCACAGACTCTCCCTTGCTTCCTGCCCAGGACCGTCTGGCTGGGCCTGGATGCCCAGCCTCTGCCTCCTGCAGCCAGTGCCCCAGTGCCCACAGCTCCCTGCCCTCCACACAGCGTCTGGACAGCTCTTTGCATGCCGATGTTTGATATGAGACACACGCACCCTAGTGAGCAATTAATAGTAACAAGCAAAGAACTTGAAGACCACTTGGCCTTACAGGAAGATTGAATTGCCCCAGAAACATTCTCCGGATAGGCCCCTGCTCCCATGTGGTGCTGTGTCAGCCTCTGCCCTGATCACCGGATGCCAGCAAAGCTCAGTCTTTCCCATGTAAAAGCCCAGGTCCCTGCAACTGCTGCCCTTGCCTCCTGGCCAGCCAAGCTCCTGCAGGGCCATTCATGCTGGTTGTTGGTTGCACTTCTTTCTCGTCACCAACTGCAGCCAATCTGTGACTATCACTCACCTGCCCCCAGGGGAAGGCTGCTTCCTGTTGGAACAACACTCACACCGGACACACACACACGTTCTTTGCCAGTTAACACATTAAATCCTTGCAGGCTGGGGGGCACTTTTACTGACAGGGAATGTTGAGAGAGAGGCAGAGTGAAGACCCAGAGCTCATTTGGGAAGTGCTGGGCTTCAACCCCATGGAACTGGTTTCAGCTGGTTATGCCTGTCCACCCCGAGGGAAGGAAGCAAACTATGCTGAGGACTGGTACTGTCACATCCTTCATCCCTCCGCCTTGCTGCCAAGACACAGTCCCTGTTTTCACAGAGGCTGAGTGGGTGGCCCACGGCAAGCCTGCCCCATCCACGCCATGTGGTGCCTCAGAGGCTCCCCACCTGCCCAGGTCTTCCTGCCTCTCAGCCTGGTCCCTGGGGCTCACGCGGGATGCTCTCCTGAAGGTGCGCCCCCTCAGGCAGTCTTGTTCCTGCAAAACCAGGTTGCCTGGGAGACCCCTGAGCATTCTGACTGACACAGCCTCCAGTCGGCTGATGCCTCTTCTCTCGTGTGCTATGGTAGAAGCTGTGCTCGGTCACTGTGCAGCAAAGTGAAACTCAGCAGATCTGGGGTGTCCAAACTGCACGTTACAAAGAACGGATTGGCCCTTGGGATGGTTCCTGAGAGAACCTCTAAGCCATTGGAATATCCTGCCTGATTAGAGTCTTTCCTTACTGGGGGCCTTAGGCTAAATCTGTGATTTATGATGGGGACCGTGAGTCACACTGTACCAGGCTGATCTCTGAGACAGCCGGAGGCTCAGTAACTAAGGTTAGTCATGCAGGCATTCCACATCTATGTGGTCACCCCCAGTAAATATCAGCAGACTTGGTGACCTCCCCTGGCTGCCAATACTCCATGCGTACTGTCACTTGTAGTGGGGCGTACAGAGGAGTCTGCATGACTGCACTGGGACAGGACAAATGGAAGCTTGTACCTGGTGTCTCCTGGATCCCATCTGGTGTACTCTCTACCTTTGTGATTATAATCTGTGTCCCTTTCACTATAATAAACAGTATCTCAACCTTTTCTGAGTTCTAAGAGTCCTCGTGAGTCACTGACCCTGCAGGTGGTTTTGGGGACTCCCTTGTAGTCATTTTGCATTTGGTGTCACTGGTTCACTCACTCATCCCTGTGGATTTTGGCCCTGCTCTGTGCCAGGCTGGGTTTACAGAGGCATCTGACACAGGGGTGTGTGCTAAAGGGGCTCTGGGTCCAGGGTGGGCTCTGAATGAGGACACGGACAATGACAACACAATGTCCGTGCCGTCGTGGGGGGCAGGAGGGGAAGACAGGCTGCTTCTGATTCAGCCAGTGAGGAGGTGCCCTGGAGCTGATACCGAGGACAGGAGACCAAAACAGGCTGGGATTGAACAACACAGGCTGCCTGTGGGATGGCTGGAAATGAACCTGGAAAGATGGGCTATAGTGGTTGAGTGCAGAGGCTTCACGGCCAGACCGCACCCTGATGGCCACAGAGAAGCCGAGTGAAGCTGTGTGGAGGAGTGAAAGACCGCACCTGTGCTGAAACAAAACAATGGCTCTAGGAGGCACGTGACCAACGTCCATGCTCTGGACTGAGCAATGGCTGCCCAGCTCCTACTTTTGCCTTTGCCTCAAGCCAGCCAGATGACTCGACCTTCTTCAGATGCGACCCCATCACCCCGCCATCTCACATTCTCGAGGGAACATTAAATCCTAGAGCTGCCTCCTTACAGTAAATACCTCTGGCCTGTGCTGAAAGGGATGAGAGGACTGTTGCTGCTCCGCCCCTACCTGCTAACTCCAATATTTTCATCCTGAAAAATGAGGGGCTTCTAGCTGGTGGCCTCAGGCAAGTGGTTTAACTTCTCAAAATCTCAGCTCCTTTTCTGTGAAGTGGAGATAACAGTATCTGCACCCCATGGCTGCTGAGAAGATGGAATGTGTGTAAAGTGCTTATGAAGTGTTAAAGTCTTATGAGAATGTTACTGTCTTGATTGACTTTAATGACGTCCTCATGCTGAAGCTGACGAATGACACATAAAGTCTTTTTAAAGGGCTGGGCTTTGTGACACACAACATTTCAGCATTATAAACCTTACTTTTTGGCAGAGGAACAAAACAAAACCAAAAAAACAAAATAACAAAACAACCCAAAACCAAACCATATGATCCAAAACCATATGGCCTGAGTTAATGCAAGGCACAAATAACTGAAAAAGCATCTTTTAAGTTTTTTAAATTTCATTTCTCCCTAGGCAAAAACCAAAATGAGCTCTGTTTCAGGCCTTCTGAGAAGACTGACCATACCTGTGGATCTCTCCTTCCACCTGGTGGACATCTGTGGATCTCTCCTTCCACCTGGTGGACATCTGTGGAACCCGCAGCATGGAGAATGGGGGGGCTGTTGTCCCCCTTGAAGGCTCACTCTGCTTTCTCACCCAACCAACCAGGTGACCCTGCAGAGAGAAATGTATATGATGTGCAAGGAGGCTGCACTGCACTGGCCCTGAGTTCCTGACACAGGGCCACCTGCTGGGTGAGAACAACACACCAAGGACAGACGGAAGGTCTCTGCCACGTCTGGCATATCTCTGGTTCACTGATGGATGAGAACTCAACAGTTGCCAAGGGTTTTCTGATAGTTGCTGTACTCACATGGCATCCCCTGGGAATGAACTCTCCAAAGCCGGGCCAGGGATCTGCTCCAGCTGAAGGCTTTCCCATATTTGTGACACTCAAAGGGCTTGTCGGGTGTGAATCCTCTGATGCAGAACGAGGGCTGCAGCCTCACGGAAGGTTTTCTGACACGGGCTGCATATGAGGGGCTTGGCACCTGTGGGGGTCTGCTGGTGCTGCATGAGGTGTGTGCTGCAGCTGAAGGCTTAACCCCACGCATGGCACACGTAGGCCGCTCCCCCGTGTATACCCGGCAGTGTTCGGTGAGGTGTGACACCTGGACGTAAGCCTTGCCACACTCGTTGCACTTGTAGGCCTTCTCCCTAGTGTGTGTCCTGAGGTGGTGGGTGAAGGAGGAGCTCTGCACAAAGGCCCTTCCACAGTCTCCACACACATAAGGCTTCTCTTCAGTGTGGATTCTCTTGTGCCGGGTGAGGAGCCTGCTCTGCCTGAAAGTCTTCCTGCATTTTCTGCACGCGTAGGGCTGCTCACTTCTGTGCACCCGCTGGTGCAGGACCAGCGCTGAAGAATCGCCGAAGCGTTTCCTGCACTCACTGCATGTAAATGGTTTCTCACCACTATGGATCTTGAGCTGCTGGGTCGGGTAGGAGCTCTGACTGAAGGTCTTCCCACATTCTCCACACACACAGGGCCGCTCGCTGGTGTGCACTTGCTGGTGCTTGGCCAGGGAGGAACTCTGGCTGAAGGCACGGCCACAGTCACTGCGTGCATATGGCTTCTCACTCGTGTGTGTCCTCAGGTGCTTGCTGAGGGACGAGCTCTGGCTGAAGGCTCTCCCACATTCCCGGAACGTGTACAGCTTCTCTCCTGTGTGGCAGTGCTCGTGGTCAGCCAGGGATGAGCTCAGGCTGAACGCCTTACAGCACGTGTGGCACTCACATGGCCACTCTCCCCTGTGGGTTCAGTGACGGACGAGGGCCGAGGAGTTGGAGAAGGCTCTGCCACACTCATAACAGGTGAACTGCTTCTCCCCAGTGTGGACTCACTGGTGCTGCACGAGGTAAGTGCTCTGGCTGAAGACACGCCCACACTCGCCATAGACATACGGCTTCTCACCCGTGTGCACCTGCTGGTGCTTGGCCACGGATGAGTTCCCCTGGAAACTCCTGCTGCAGTAGCCACACGCATAGATAGGGCTTTTCACCTGTGTGGATGCGCTGGTGCTTAACGAGGGACGAGTTCTTGCTCAAGGCCTGTCCACACTGCCAGCATGTGTACGGCTTCTCGCCAGTGTGGGTTCTCTGGTGATGAATGAGATGTGTGCTCTGTTAGAAAGCCTTCCCACACTCCTCGCATGTGTAGGGCTTCTGTGGGAATCTGTTGATAGCCCGCAAGGCATGGGTTCTTGCTAAAGCCATCTTTGCACCCACCACACACCAAGGTGTACTTCCCACTGTGAACTCCTTGTGGGTGACTAAGGTCTGGAAAAAAGCTGAGGGCTTCCATACACACACCCTCTCCTTGGCTGGGGCATCCCTGAGCTAGGAATGAAACACAGGTGAGGCCCTTCTTGCCAATGTGGCTTGTGGGATCTTGTGCCCCTGGGGATTGCCCTGATGCTCAATGAGGAATGGGCACCAGAAGAAAGTTCCTGCAAGGTTCCACTCTGGGCTCTTCTTCCCCTGGCTGAGTGTCACTGCTTGGCAGTGTCTTTCTGCCACCTGGTCTTCATGCTCTGTGACTTCTCTCAGGATGCTGTGCCAGAAATCCTGCCCTGTGAGTCTCATTGTCATCTGCCCCTGAGGCAGAGCACCTTTGTCTAGAGGCAGCCATGTGGCTCAGGGCCCAGGCTCTGAGCCTGAAAAATAAGCAAAGAAATATGCTTAGGATCCAACTGAATGGGCACGGCCAATCTAAGGAGGATGGACAGAACTGCAGTAGTCAGACTAGACAGCGCAGATCTGCGGCTTTCAGCGGGCTCTTGCAGTTGAGGACAGAAGAGAAATATTCTTAAGCGTTGGAAGCCAGACACAGAAAGGCCACATATATTAGCGCATGTATCTATGTGAAAAATAAATGAATTTATAACTTCACTTATATGAAAAGTTCAGAAGAGGCAAATCATAGAGACAGAAGACAGATTAGTGACTGTCAGATGCTGGGGGAAGTGACCGAAGTGACCACCAAATGACCATCGGCTTTGTTTTCAGGATCCTGCACCTACTGGCTCTTTTTTGTTGGATGTACACTGCATTTCCTTGCCCCAGGAGGAGAAATAAACTGACCTGAAGCATGGTGACTAGAGTTATAACACTGTACTGTATTCCAGACATTTCCTAGAGAGTTGATTGTAAGCATTCCCACCAGAGAAGAAACATCGCAACTATGTGAGGATGTGGATATATCTATTAACTGGGTTGTGGTAATCATTTCACAATGTACATCAAAACACCATGTTGTACACTTTAAATATACACAATTTTTATCTGTCAATTATACCTCAAAGGTAGGGAGAAAAATTAACAAAACAACTGACCTGACATTTACTTCACTCAACTGGACCTCTCAGGGGATCTCTCTCCATAGCCCAGGGGTCTTCCCACTGCTCCAGCTTGGAGATCACATCTGGTTTGCAGTTGAGGAGTCCTGGTCATAATTAGAAAGTAGAAGGGAAATGTTGATGCTGTTGTCACAAGCCAGCCAGTAATGCAGTGTGTGTGCCTCAGGCATGGTAGAGGTCTCTCCCTGGGTATGTAGGATGGGGTGTCCACTCTGCATGGAAGGGACCCACCTGGGGGACACAGGTCAGAGCAAGGACCTATCTGGGTGTGGGTTACTGGGGACAAGGTAGGGGATAAATATGCCCATGTATATGTGACCACATGTGGAAACAGACATGTGACATGGATGAAGAGGTGACAGGGAAAACCCACCGAGGGACACCAAGTTGCTGTAGTTCCTCAGCATCATGTCATGGTGCAGGATCCTCTGTGTGGGGCCCAGCAGCCCCCATTCCTCCTGTGTGAAGTCCATGGCCACGTCCTTAAGTATCACTGGCTTCTGAAACATCCCACATGCATTGGCTCAGCCATGGGTCCTGTCTGGCCAGGGCTAGACCCGTGGAGAACAGCAGGATGTGAATGTTCTGGGAAATATCCTATGGTCATGGGGGGAAGCGTGTGGCTCATGCTGTGAGCTGGCACTATTATCATCTTAACACTGGGTGCCATGGTCCTACCTGAATAGTTGTATGGTCTCTGTTAAAGCTTTACCCCTTCGTGAGAAGGCATTTGGAAGTGGGGTCTTTGGCGGGGATTAGGTTTAGATGAGGTCATGAGGATGAGGACCATGATGGGACTAGTGCCCTCATAAGAAGAGGGAGCAACCAAAGTATGCGGTTCTCACCTTGGTTTCTCCCCAGTGTGCGAGGGCAGAGAGAAGGCAGCTTGTCTGCAAGCCAGGAAGAGAGGTCTCACCAGAACCCAGGTCTGCTGGCACCTTCATCTTGGACTTCTGCCACCAAAACTGAAAACTAACTTTGTCAATTAAGTCATATAGTTCATAGTATTTTGTTATAGGAGTCTGAACAGATTAAAACACAATGATTTTGGGCGCCTGCATGGCTCAGTCGGTTGAGCAACCAACTCTTGGTTTCGGCTCAGGTCATGATCCACAGTTCATAAGTTTGAGCCTCGCATTGGGCTCCAAGCTGACAGTACAGCACCTGCTTGAGATTCTCTCTTCTCTTCCCGCCCCCCCGCCCCTGCCCCGCCCCGGTCTTTACCCTTCCCCTGGTCACACACACAGACTCTCTCTCTCTCTCAAGATAAATAAATAAAATGTTAAAAAAAAGACTTAAATTTAAAAACAAAAAAGACACATTGATTCCTCATCACTTCCCAAAGCACTCAGCTTTGTGGCCCCCAGACGGACAGCTGCATGGCCCTTACCAGCCCCTCCCCCACCCCCCAAGCCCTCTGTCATACCTGCATGGTTTGCATCCCCTTTAAGCCTGGGCAGGGGAGGCTTAGAGGACAGGATAGCATCTGACACCAGCCACATGTGCTCTGGGGCCATTAAGTGTCCCCAACCTGGACTTTACTGTCCCACAGTGGCACCCCCAGGCTGTGGCAATAATCCCTCTGCCTGTGTGTGTGGCTGTCTTCTTGGGGACCCCATGAAAAAGGGGCTGTGAGGAGGCAGCAATTTCAGAGTAACTACTTACCACCCAAACCCCCCAAACACCTATCTAGATACTGCTCAGTGCCACCATTCGCTTATTTGCCCGTTAATATCTTCCAGGTGTCTGTACATGCCAGGCCCCACTGTGTCCCTTTCTTGGATCCTGGATAAACAGTGTGACCATAAAGAGCCCGTGTCCCAGATCTGCCCAGGCATGGAATTTCCTTCAAGTGCCCTAGACTGACAAGGTCACTATGTGCCACCCTGGAATGGAGATAGAAGAAAGAGGAGGAATGGCCAGGGCGGGAGAAGGTGTCCTGCCCCAGGACTCATGCTCCATGGGGGTTGTGGCTCCAGTCCTGTGCTCAGGGATAGACATATCACAGAAGCAAGGACATAAAGGAGTATGCCTGCTGGGACTGCTGGCTTTTTGGGAAACTCACATGGAAGGCATCTGCTGGGAATGTAGCATCTTGGGGCTTGGGCTTGCCCTCCTTGACACTTCCCTGAGAAGGAAGAGCTGGAGGAGGGGCAGGGGATATGAGAGAGGCCATATGTGCCCTCAGACCCCAGAGACCCAAGCCCCAAAGCCCCCTCACCTCACATCCCTCCCCTCGCAGGCCACTAGTGTCTCTCCCAGGGGTCTCAGCCCTCCCAGTCCATACTCTCCCGGTCTAGACCCTCCCACAAGTGTTGTTCCTGTTTACCCTCCAGGGATTGGCAGAACCAGAGCCGCCAACGTATGGCAAGCATGCCGTGGTCACCTTGTATCAGCTTGTTTGATCCTCACTCCTTTCCTGAGAGTGACGGTTAGGATCATCACTACCAGACCTGTTTTACATGAAGGAAACTGAAGCATCAAGGGGGAAGATGCTTGCTTGAATTGAGCTTCTGTGGGGAAGCATCCCCTCATGTCCCCACCCATGACCACCCAAGACAGTGAGTCCTGGGGAGAAGGCTGTATCCATGTGGACCCGCATAGCCCAGAATTAGTCTGGGAATGTGGCACCCACCCGAGCTCTGGTGAAAGGGTTTATACAGCTGCCATGGACCTGTGGTGATCCAGAGGATGATAAATACTTGGAGTAGGAAGCCCAGGAGCTGCAGTTCCACGATGTGCCACTAACTGGCCATATCACTGTTCTGGGCCTATTTCTTCCTGAGTACAAAAAAGACAAGAGGATGGATGGCATTAAGTCTCAGAAAGTCTTTGTGAAATATAACATAACATAGGAATACCTCATTGTGCCCCTGCTGCCAGAAGCCACACCACCTTTACACCCTCCATCCTGTCTTGGCTCCCAGGCTGGGCAGGAGGCCACTGAGCTCAGGGATCCACATAAAGTGGCCCTCTGATTTGATGCTTGGAAGTTGGGGCTCAAACCCCTGCCTCTAAAACAGGAACGACCCATGAGCCTAGGCTGAGTCCCTGTGGGCAGCCGTGGCTCCATGCCACCCTCAGGCTGCAAACTTCTCAAGAGCTTACTATGCAATGCTGGCCAAGTTCCCTTACATGAGGAAAAAGAGGTATTATCATCACCCTCTTATACAAGTGGGGCCTGGGGGCCACGAGGAGATTAAATCAAAGGTGTGAGGCAAGTGATGGGTGAGGATCTGAACTCAGACAGTCAGACCTGAGTCTGTGCTCTCAAAAAGATACACTTTTAATATAGGTACGAGTGCTCAGCTCAATGAGTTTTGACCAATGCACACACCTGTGTAGCCACCATCCAGACCAAGCTCTAGAACTTTCTGAGGATGGAAATGTTATGGAGTTGTGCTGTCCAATTCAGCAGCCCCATGTGGCTCCTGAACAGTAAAAAACACAGGTGGTGTGACTGAGAAACTGGATGTGTAATTTGAAGTCTAACCGATTCACATTTTAATATCTACATGTGGCTCCTGGCTACCATTTTGGACAGCTTAACACTAAGACTTTTCAGCACCGTGGACAGCTCCCATAGGGCACCCTTTCCAGGCAAAGCCCTACCCAGCCCCAGGGTGATTGCTGCTGGGATTTCTGATAGCACACAGGAGCTGTGCCTATTCTTGAACTTCACACAAAGTAAATCGTATGCTGTGTAACAGTCTGAGGTCTCAGCCTCATGCTATCAGTTTTATAGACATCACTGGCAGCAGCACCTGTCAAGATGCCTCTACAGAGACGGTTTGGGGGACAAAGTGAGATACCAAGTAGGCAAGTACTCAGAAGAGGGAAAAGTGATAGTCCCAGTTGTTTTGAATTCAGTTCCCGATAGACTCCCAGTAGGGAAGGGCTGATGTGAGGCCTTTTGCCTCACAAAAGGGGTGAGAGTGGTGAGCTGATCCCTGGGGCTCCAATGCACCCAGTGCCCACACCTTCCTCTCAGTGTCTTCCTAGGCTGGAAACAGTGAGTGTGAGGGATAAGTGGAGAGTGTCAGACCTAGGATCAAATCCACCTTACCACTCTCGGCTGGGTGACCTTGTGTTGCTCAATCCTCTAAGGCCTGGGTTTTCTATCTGTAAAACTGGGTAATAGTACCTTTTGCAGAAGGCTGTTTATTCATTCATTCAACAAATACTCCATGGACTGTGCACGATATCATGAAACTTACAGTCTATGATGAACTGTATAAAGTATAAAATCTTCAGATATGTAAGAAACATGTGTGTAAAATGTGTAAAAGTGTTAAAAACATAATGTAGATGTGTGGCACCTGTTTTGGATCAGGGGTTAGCAAACTTGGCTCTACTCACTGCCTATTTCTGCACAGACCATGAAATGAGAATAGTTTTTCCATCTTTAAGTGGTTGGGAGGAAAAATCATCAGATTAATGTTAAGTGAAATTCAGATTTCAGCGTTCAATAAAGTTCTGGATTTCATCAGGACAAAAATGTGTGGGTATGTGTTTTCTCTCTTGTTAGATAAGTACCTACTTGACACCCTTGATTTTGTTTCTTGGCCTGCAAAGCTGAGAACATTTGCTACCTGGTGCTTTACAGGGAGAGTTTGCTGACCCTGCTGACAGCCAGGGGAGGGATGGAAGGTTTAAGGTAGAGGTGGCCTCACTGTTTAGGGTTTAAAGACCCCTCAGGTGCTGTGTGGAGAGCAACAGAGGGGGCGGGGTGGGGGGAGGAGACCTGTGAGAAGGCGGCAGTCTGGACTAGGCTGAGGATGGCAGGGCGTCAGAGTGAAGGCAGCAGGAGCAGCGTACGTTTTAAGGAAGATCTAGTTTCTGAAAATGCCCAGCCCTACGACCACCACCCTGCCAAGTGAGTCACCTAGCTCCTCAGGCTCCACTGCCTGCCACTCTGCTCGGTCTCTGGGCTGCTTGACCTCAGGAGAGGAAGCAGGTGGTCTTAGTCCCAAAGAACCCAGGTTGTGGGAGACTCTTGCAGGGATGGATTCCAGTACCCAGAGCCACTGCCTCCTCCCATCTATTCCCATTCGGCAGTCCGGCTTCTGTTGCTCACTTCAGGGCTCAGGGCTGGAATTCTGGAAAACGAAGCACTACTGGGTGAGCAAAGCAACAGGAAATGGGTGTGGCCATACACATGGCTTCCCTGGGACAGACTCAACTGCCCCTTCCCCCAAATGGAAAACATGTCTACACAAAAACCTCTATATGAATGTTCACAGCAGCATTATTTGGGTAAACAAACTGTGGCATATCTATATAATGAAGTATTATTCAGCTATAAAGATGAATGAAGTACTGATACATGGCATAACACGGATGGACTTTAAAAACATTATGCTCAGTTTAAAAAGCCAGACACACAACAAACCCATACATTGTATGGTCCCATTTATATCACATGTCCAGAACAGAGACAGATTAATTAACAGAGTTGATGAATGGCTGCCAGGGGCTGCGGAAAAGGGGAATGGAGGGTGATAGCTAACGGGTACGGGCCATACGCACACCTGAGTTCACATCTGCAGACACTAAGAGGTGTCACACACACAAAACACCCCTTCCCCACACAGACATGCATGGTGACACACCTGACCACTCACACACACACCTGAGGTCTCATCTGCACACACAAATGGTGTCACACATGTGATACACTCTTCCCCTCTGACATGCACAAGTGGTAACATGACCAGTCAAATGCACATACCTGAGGTCACACCTGCAGACACAGGCAATGACAAGCTGGGCTTCCCACACACAGGAGGTCTCATCTGTCTACACAGGTGATGCTTAACATGCGATACACCCTTCCCCTCTGACATGCACATGTGGTGACACACTCAGCCACATGCACACACTTGAAGTCAAATCTACACAGACAACGAGGTCTCATATACACACGCAGGTGGTACCTCAGGTGCAAAACAGCCCCC